CGTCCGAGCGTGGGGAACCTCGACGGAAAACTCATTCGGAGCGTATCCTCGAATCCCTTTAACGGAAGCGATTCCACGCAGCAAGCGGAAGCCCCTTGATCGCTTGTCCCTTGTTTCAGATCCGTCAGAGATACACTAAACGCTTATTTACAACTCAACTTGCGTTGCCTATTTGCCGCGTTTTCGGGTCCTCGAAAATCCTTCGATCCAACGAGTCAACACACAGAACATTTGGATCGTTTATTTAAATTTCATCTTCGAGTTCTGCTTTCCATCTCTTCTCGTTTCGTTACCGCTACCACTGCGTTCTCCATCTAAAGTCCAGCCTGCATCGATTCGTCGTATCGATCTTTCGCCGATCTACTTCTCCGGGAGGAAAAATTTCGAGAGGAAAAAGGTGGATGGAAAGAAAGGCGAAGTCGGCTCGATGGAGCAGAGGAGACGGCTGGCGAAACACCAGCGAAGATAAGCGTGAACGCGTGCGAAAAGATCGAAGCGAAGTTTCGAGTTTGAAGAATCGATCGGCGTTTCGATCGCAAGGGGAGTGTTCATTCATCGGCCGATTCGTGCAAGGACTCGCATCGTTACCCACGGTGGTCGTCTTTGAGAACGCTTGCTGCCACGAGAGATACGAGTCCGTCGTGCAACCTCTCATTTCCCTCCTACTGCAATCAACGGCATTTAAGCTTGCGTTTCGAGCGTTTAAGCATTTAGCTGCTTCCGTCATACCTCGACGTATACCGACAATTTTTTCGCGCTCCGGGACAACGGCTCCCTGCTTTTCGGCAAAGGAGCACGCTCGCAAAATTACGTTTCGCGTTCTCAACGTGGACTTGCCGTTATCGAAGCAAAGAGTGCACAGTTCGTCGTAAACGCACGCGTCACCTCTGCGAAACGATCGAGAGAATTTCCGCGAGGAAAAAGTACAAGATCTCTCGTGATTTTCAGGCTGTGTACTTTAATAAGGGAGAGACATCAACGCCCACGTAGAACAGGCGCATTGGAAGGAAGAAAAGTCAGCGTTGGCATTCGTTCCGTTCCCCCTTTGCCTATCGGCACGAAATAATTGGCTGCACGCTGTTAACGAATGCTATGGAGACGAAGAGAAAAAAAGACGGGAAAAACGGACTGTTGCGAGTAAGAGATCGAGGACTAGTTCACGGAGCGTTCGCGTGACTCTACCGATCCTCCGGGATATTTCTCGGAGGGAGAAAGAGACAAAGTCGAGCAGATAAACGAAGAGAAAGAGAGAAGAAAGAAAGGTAGAGAAGGATGCGTCAGGTATACGAAGGTCGTTAGCTCGGAGAAAAATTAGCCGTTTGTCCAAGTTCCGTCCAAAGATGGGTCAATCAGATACGAAAACACTTGTCGGGCTAGGCATTGTCCCAAAGTAACAGGTCTACGAAGGATCGTAGACACAGGTATACTTTTGTCCTAATGACTGTTCGAAGAATTCAAAGGTTCACGGTTCGCCGAGTGTTCGACGGGGTGGCCGCGATCGTTCACGTGCTCTCCTGCTGCCATTTTGCTCTTGAAAGCAGCGCGCGGTATCACGATTACGCATTACGGTATTTCTGGAGCATTGGCTCCCTTCGATACGCATTCGACTTTATCTTCTGCTTCCTTTCCAACCGAAGTAAATCTTGCTCCACGTTCTTCCACGATTTATTATCGTTGCGTCTTACTACGACGAGATTCCTCTTAATCATTTCGGATACTGTGTTACCAGACACTCGCGTATTGTGTTATTAACGATTCGTGTTGTATTCGATAGATGCAATAACGTATACGAATTTCATGGAATCTTTAAACACGCTCCAGTTTTCATATTTCCACTTCCTTTATCCGAGAACCGATATTAACTTACTATATTTTTTCCGTTCTTTCCACCTTTCCGCTTTTCCTCTCATTTCTAACCTATCAAAATTTTTGCATCTGTCTTATGAATAATGATCGCACACGAATAACGATTTCTATGGCAATTATGATTGATTTGAAAGAAAAAAGGAAAAAGAAAGAATTCGTACTTACTTTTCCGATCGGAGACGTTATTACAGTTGGCGTGATAAAGCGATTATTCTCGATTTTTGGTTCGTCGCTTGCATCGTTTAAATGTTAGCAAAAGAATTTTGTTATATACCGCAGGATTCAATCGGTGTCGGGGCGTGGTCATAATCTGTAGTATATTCTATTTCGATGTATGCATTCGATCCTTTCACCATTCGTTTAGACTGTTCCCACTTGCCAAGGTAAAACTATAGAAACATCTGTTCAATGATAAATTCGGTAGTGAATGCAACATTACGATATATAAATTTGTTTATCACCAGGTACAAAATGGTACACTTACTTTTTAAAAATTGAAATGGATTATATGTTGCACGCGCAAAGTAATTTCATATAAAAGTTTCTTCCTGTTACCGTTGCGTTGCTTATTTATGTTAAATACAGAATTTTGCTTTTAATTTCTTGTACAATTATTTCTGTTACTTTATAAAACGTTGATGCGTAGTAAAATCGGATCGATTTACGATTAATTTATTGAAAAACTATTTTGATTGGCGATAAATAGCGATACGAACATAGTAATACGAAAGAAAACAATCATTTGTCAACAATCTTCGAATGTAATCTATATGACAACATGAAAACATTAATTTTCCTAAGAAAAAATCTCTACCGATAAAAAACTGAAAGAATCTCTTGCAGCAAAATGGGTACTTATCGCCATCTATCGCACGAACTGCAAACTTCTGCAATGTGAGATCGTATTGCATATGTATGAAACGTCGTCAGGTAGCTAACAGAAATACCGTGAATAAATCAGTGCAATTCGGTACTGATCGGTGCTGATCAATTAATTTTGTATATCTATTTTTTTCTCGTTTAGGCTTTGGTCGTTTGTGTTTTTAAAATTTTTATTGTGATAAACGTCACTTGATATTACTACAAGTATCAGTATAGCAAAGAGTTACATCGAACGGTAAACTCCTGTGTAGCATTCCAGTATCAGTGACAATCTTGCTTCCACGTTACACGGCATTACCTATTTTGGAAACAAACGCTGTGTTACGGTAGTTATCTCGTTTGCCGCGACGCACTAGTACTGGATTTTCCAACGTTTCTCTATCTCTTGGTATATACGATACGATCTCACTTGTATCTCGTAGTTGATCGCCAATCACATATGATTATATACGATTGTGGTTACTTACTCGTACACAAAGATCCGCGATTAATCATTGGTTAGGTTTTAAGTGAGAATAGAAAATCTTCTGTAGTGTCGAGTGAAAATTTATACATCTGCACTTTCACCGAGGCAATCGAAGTAACGATAAACCGAAATATTAAGAAGAATCTTTTGTATATGTATTTTTTTTGTATGACCTCATTTAGTCGGTTTAACTTTAAATTTATGAATATTTTTGTTTTTATGTTTTCCTTATATCTATTTTTATACTATGGTTTTCCCTGTGAAATGTACTTTAACGTTACATATACGTATAGCGATTGCAATGTTACAGTTAATTGCATAAATTTATTATTCGGTGTAATTTTGATTTTTAATTTGTTTAGTCAACTATTATAACATTGATCCTTATGGAATATCGAATTGTTCGTTTTCACTTGTTAGAATCGTCAAAATATATAACCAAATCAACATATTTTCCGCGTAAATACATTACCAACGTTTCCTTGTTCACACATCTGTTGCGCGTTTATTACGATAGTGATCCACGTCTTTTAACAAAAACGCGCTAAATCGAAAAAGTGTTTTGAAAAGAGCGATATTGGAAAATCATTTTTAAATAATTTATATATTAGAAAGAAACAATAGAAACTAATCATAATCAATTTGTTTTTATCTCCATTCCATTAAATCGATTGTATTTATTTTTGTTTTTTTACATGATAAATTGATTGAAAATTTTTGTCATAATTCCATGATCATTTTAAAACATATTGTTTGCAATTCTTTATTGTAGAAACATGAAGTACTTCCTCTTATTTTTCCTAATAAGCGTGACAGTTCAATGGTCCGTTGCTCCACCTGTTAATCAAAAGAGCAAGGACAAGGATGATGATAATGAAAATGCTGTTGATGATATGGAACATATGGTATGCTTTTTCTTATATTTTCATTTTATTTAATATTACTCAAAGCAGAAGCTTTTTCTACATAGGTGGATATGGAGTACCACAAATACCTGATGCAAGTTGTTCAGGTGTTAGAGAGTGATCCTGAGTTTAAGGAAAAGATAAAGAAAGCAAATCAAGAAGATATACGTGTAATTTGAAAAAAATAATTTGATATTTAAATTAAGTATAGAACAAATTTCATATATTTTTGAGAATCTTTTTATTAATCAGACAGGGAAAATTGCCGATGAACTACAATTTGTAAGCCATAATATTAGATCAAAATTGGATGAGATAAAAAGAATCGAATTGGAAAGATTAAGACATCTTGCGACAGAAGAAAATGAATTAAGGAATGGTTTAGATATAAAACATTTAAAAGTACCTGAACATTTAGATCATACCAATACGCGTTCATTTGAAATTCAGGATCTAAAGAAATTAATTGCTAAGGTAATATAATATTAGCACAAAGTAAAGTAAGCTTGTTATTGAATATAATATACTATTTGTTTCTTGACACAGACTAGTAGAGATTTAGCGAAAACTGACAAGAAGAGGCGAGAAGAGTTTAAAAAGCATGAAATGAAAGTGAAATTTGAAGAAGAAGAAAAATTGAAACGTAAACATAAATTAAATGTTATAAATTAAATTATGATTATCTAGTTGCAATAATAAATATTTTCTTGTGTATTTTTTTTTATTACAGATATGAATGATGTGGAACGGAAGAATTATGAGCATGAATTAGAAGCAGCAAAAGAACAGCAGAAAAAACATGAACCTGTAAGTTGTGAATGTACTTGTTATAATAGCCATATGATTTATGATGTTACTTATTATTATATGGTTTTATAGATACATCACCCAGGAAGTAAACAACAATTAGAAGAAGTATGGGAAAAACTGGATCATATGGAAGATGAAGTATTTAATCCGAGAACATTTTTTTACTTCCATGGTATAACGTTTATATTTTCTTTGCTTCTTTATAATATTTTTATTTTTACATACTTAAAAAAATGAATGTTCTAGATATCGATGGTAATGGGGTATGGGATCAAGATGAAGTAAAAGCATTATTTTTGAAAGAATTGGATAAACTTTATGCTCAAGGGGGACCCACGGATTTAATAAGACGAGCTGAGGAGATGGAAAGAATGAGGGAACACGTATTCAATGAAACTGATCTCAATAAAGATGGTCTCATTAGGTACATATATGTGTACATTTTGTCATATTATTTTGTCATATATATATATATATATGTATTTTAATGTATATTATTATTATATAATATGAATATTTTAGTTATCGTGAATTCTGGGAAGATACAAAGAAACCAGATTTCCAGCAAGATAATGGTTGGCAAGGATTAGATGAACAACAAATTTATACCCAGGAAGAGTTTGAAACATACGCAAGACAAATGCAAGATGAAATGCAAAGAATGATGGGTGAAGGAATGGTAAGTAATATTGTTACGAATAGCTTCTACATTCATTATACTGATTATATATATATTACGTTATATTCTATATTTACATCTTCAATTCTTTAACATAGATATTTAATTAGTACTATAGATGCGCATAACGAGTGTAAAGTAATTAACTCCTTTACCTACAATATCGTGTGAGACTCATGGTAAGGAAATCGGGTCAAACATGAGTGTCGCAGGTGAGAGGCGTGGTTTGTAGATATGATCCAATGTAAATAACACGGGTCAGGCTCATTGTTAGTTTTCGTCGATGTCTACCTTTCTCAGTTACGTGTTATTCTTCGTCATTCAAATCACATAAAAGTCGCATGCGGTGTCGTCGCAAATTTTTCAATGCTCAAGATTACCTGAAAATCATGGTTATGATATTCGAAGTAGAAGTCATTTCAAAACTTTTCAAAACCGTCGATGTTATTTCGTTACCACTAATAGAGTTTTGTGTATGTAATTTGCGAATATTCTCGTTATAAAGAATATAATTGTGCAAAAAATTAACAACATTTGAAATTATATCATTCGTTTTAGAATGTTTATAGAAAAATATTTGTATGACGTATTATTTGTAATAGTATGTTTTCTCAATGCTTGAACTAAATTTACAGATAGGAAAAGATATCAAATTGTATCGTTTGGTGATTAGATAGTTTTTACCAACCAATTAATCTTCCCTTTTATTAAAGTAGCATTTGTGGTAAAGTTTTTGTAATTGATAATCATTAGTTTGTGTTCTTTGTATTGCTGTCATTAGGTTCCATCACATCCAGGTAACAAAGCAGCGCAATTCGAATCGGTAGGCACATTACTTTTTCCATATGCATTTTACTTAAAGTAAATATAAAAGTTTTGATTTCAAAAGATATCCGAAATAAATTTTATTTTGTACATTTACTATATTTAATCGGAGATAAAAATCAGCAAATCAAGAGCAAATTTTTATTTAGCATCCATATCCCGGATCTTTCCCGGGTCAACAAGGACACATTCCACTTCAACAGAATCAACCACAAGCACCAAATTTTCAACAAAGACAAATTCCACTTCAGCCAAATGAACAACAAATTCCACATTTTCAACAAGGACAAATCCCACTTCAACAGAATCAGCATCAAGCTTTAAATTTTCCACAAGGGCAAATTCCACTTCAACCGAATCAACCTCAAGCACCAAATTTTCCACAGCAAGGACAAATTCCACTTCATCAGAATCAACCCCAAGCTCCAAATTTTCCACAACAAGGACAAATTCCACTTCAGCAGAATCAACCTCAAGCTCCAAATTTTCAACAACTAGGACAAATTCCACTTCAACAGAATCAACCCCAAGCTCCAAGTTTTCAACAGCAAGGACAAATTCCACCGCAATTGAATCAACTCCAAGCACCAAATTTTCAACCAGGACAAATTCCACTTCAACAGAATCAACCTCAAGCACCAAATTTTCAACAACAAGGACAAATTCCAGTTCAACAAAGTGAACCTCAAGCACCAAATTTTCAACAGCAAAACATAATTAACCAGGTACCACAAAATGTCCAGGCTAACGCTGTGCCACAACAAAACAGTCCCAATCAAGGCAACTCACAATCTGCACACGCTAGCGCACAAGAAATTACTAAAAATAAAATACCACATAACGAGAAAGTATAATTTGACGATGTCAATAATGGTCGAGATGACATTCACGAAGGATTTGATGATGAAAAAATGTCTTCGATATATAAAAGGATTTAACTTTGTCGTTTTGCAATATTTTTTATATCTTTCTTTCTTTTTTATTCTCTTATTAATTATAGATTCCATATGATCGTATACGAAACATTAATGTTACGTTTATCATGCGAAAGTGGTGAATTTTTATTTATTATGAAATGTAAATAAAACTATTTCCACGAAACGCAAACTTGTTGGGAAAAAGATATGGTTTCTTTGCTGCCTTGATCCCTTGCAGAATAAATAATCAATCGTCTTCTCGATGGATAATTTAGGTTTTTATCCGGAATAATAGGTAAGGTATCAGCTGTGTGGAAAGACGAGGGCGTATAGGAGGGGTATGTCGTGTGATTCAGTGAAAAAGATTGCAATTTAATTTCTCATATTTATTATTGCATACTGTTTATGTTAGTATATTACTTAGGTATACGTGCCAGATAGCAACTTAAATATATGATTGCGTGATTCATCTGTTTGTTTCACCCGTCAAGCACGGATAGGTAGGTAGGTGGGTAGGTAGGTAGGTAGGTAGGTAATGTAACGCTTACTCCACTATATATAAGGTGTATTTATAATTATAGCATATGTTGGTAGAACGTCATCTTACATGCTAATCGGTAATAAATAAAAGAGGAATTCGTAATGGGTGACAGGTTTTGCTTGCATCCGTGACTAAAGTAAACTATTTCCAAAGCCTCGGTACCCGAGGTGTTCGGAAGAAAATGGAAACAAACGTCGCTTCGCGATTCGTCACGGGTACACAACAGACATATTTCGAGCGTTTTCTTAAAGACACGCGCGCAACTATTCGTATAGTGTGTCGGTATAATCAATTCGACTATCTACTCAAAAGAAATACTTTGTTTTAATGTAAATAAAAACAATAGTAACTATAAACTATCGCCATCTGCAAAGAAACTTGCGCTTGACGTCGTTCTTGGACAGCGAGCGTCTTCTACTGTAAGCTGCGACGATTTCGAACGAATCGATCGAGATTAGAAACTGAAACAAAAACAATTAGACACTCCGGTTCGCAGGTTCACGCGATCGAGGCTGAAAGGCGATAGAGACGTGTATATAACAGCCGCAATAACGATTCGGAGACATTCTAAATTTCGAGGTAAGAAGTGGTCGGAAATTTCTACGATCAACTTCGATCGCGAGAGCGCATTACGTGGTCCTTTTCGATTTCGCTCCTAATTATCGCGAGGCACTGGTCGGAGGCCATGCGCGCTCCAGAACTTTATTTGCAAGCGCTTTCAAAAATATTTATCGTACCAAAAGAACGCCTTTCTACGCCTCTCGATGCATCGACCAATGCCTCGTTGGCGCGCTATGGCGGCAAATTCAAATGAAACAGAGGCTCGGGTCTTAAATTACATAAAATACCTTTACGACCGGACAAATAAATATATTACAGGTTACGATAATAAAGATGAACTTTGTCGTATAATAATGTTGCATCCTTTCTATTTACAGTGAACACGCGGTTGTGCTTGTTTCTCACGTAACATATCATGTGTTTTCCTTTAGTGTACTTGTTCCAAGAATGTTTCCGTTGCTTTCGATTTCAATGTATCTCTCGCTATTTCTCTTTCGTTCGCTCCTTTATCTTTCTCCTTTATCTTTTCCTACTTTTGTCGCCCGAATTTCTTACCTTTTCTATCACTTTCTTCTTCCCTCTTCTCTTCCCCTCTTCTCTTCTTTCCTTTCTACTTTAATCGCTTACTTTTCCCCTATCTTTCTCTTTCAGCTCTCCAACTTGCTCCGCTCACCCCTTGTTGTTTTATGTTTTCTTGGGCATGCACGTGTGCGTGTACATGTACGCGCGCACATGAGCGCGCTTCTGTCTGTATGCGTCGCGTATGTATGTAATGTACGTGTTTGTTTGTGTGTGTGTGTGATAGCGTAAAGTGGTCGGGTGCGCGTGTTTTCGGTGGACGCGTGTGTAGTGTGTATCGGCCCACGGCCGGGTGTATACGATTAAATAATCGGATTCTGAAAAATGTGCGGTTCTATTGTTCGACTAATAGTTTCTGTAAATTAGGATGCCACCTAGTTTAGTCTCGACAGTTGGGTCGTTATCGCAGCAGAGAAAGGCGAATCGAAGACAGTGCCCGTTCCTCGCTGTTTCTCGATCGCGTTCCTTCCGCTGTCGTAACGTCCCTCCGGTAAACGCAGTTACGTGTTACATCCTGTAAACTAGTCGTAAATCGCGGATACGGTGATTACTACGCTTCGTTATCGTTTTACTCTTACGGTTCGCTTGGATTCTCCTCGGTGTTTCATTTCTCCCCTCGAGTGTACAAGTGTGGCGTGTATGTTGGGTCGATCGTTATTATAATAAGACATTACATCTCGAAGCTAAGGCGAAAATAAAGGAAAGATTCGGCGCGTGCGTAATACATTTCAGATCCTGTTTCACGTATTCTCGATAACTAGAACGAACGTTAAAAATTGATTTTGCAACTGCAGCCGAGTGTGTTGTTGTTCCTTGCAGCCTCGCGGCCGGACGCGCGCCTCGCTCGCCAACTTTTCCACGCTTTCCACCACTCCTCTCGAGACGTTATACACACACGTACACGTGGATCCTCGCGAGAGTATTCCTCCTCAACGACGGATCTCCCGCGACTTTCCACCCTTTCCATCCATCTTGCCGGCCGGCGCGTTACGTTTTTCCACTCGGGCTCGCAACAAGCGTTCCCCCCCGCGTTCGGGTTTAGCGAATCGGGCGAAGATGGACGCGCACAAGACGTATCGAGAAGACGGAAAACCCGTGAGACCGATCGATAAGCGAGCGAAACGTACAAGCCACGAGGACAAATGGGTAGGTTTTTCTTCAAACTAGTATACCAGCGTCACGCCCGTCCGTCCTTATGTTGCCTCGATAAAAATTCTAACAGCTACTTTGTCTTCGACTCTAAGATCCTTACTTTTCTCTAAACTTAATTCTCCCCGTGAACTTTTGTTTCGTCCTCGACGACGTTTGAACGGAAAACTGCATCTGCGTCTGTGCATCATCGGTCGACATCGTTTATCGTCGTGATCGTTATCATCGTCGTATCGTCATCGTCCTCTCCTTCAACGTAAAACGCATCCAGCAGCAACCTTATAGTGTCAATATATCAATTTATGTATATATATATTTTTTTTGTCTCATATATATTTACTTTACTTTGTGTCCTATATCAATAATAGCGTATTAGATGCATTTTTTTTTTTTTTTCTTCACTTACACCTTATGTATGTAATATAAGTATCTTTGTTTTTCTTCATCTGTTCACAGATATATCAAAATGCGTAAACGAAAGATTCTCGAAATATCCCTTCTTCCCTCTGGTAATTCAGTTACACGCTCTCCTCCTCCTGTTTACCATCCATCTCCGCTCTCTCTTTCTCTCCCTCTCTCTCTCTCTCCCTTTCTCTCGCTCTCGCTTTCTCTCTCTCTCTCTCTCTCTCTCGTACAAGCGAATCAAAAAGAAACGTTTACGAGAATATGCCATTCAGGGTATTACCGGTGATGGGTTGATCCAAAACAGAAATTTTGTCGGTTTGCTTGTAGATTCTGTACATTCGCTCTACACGCACACTAAAGATTCGTAGACACATTGCGTAATCGACGGGAAAAATCCCCCCCCTCCCTCCCTCCCTCCCTCCCAATCAGACGCGATCCCGTCCGATCCGATCCCATCGGATTCGACTCCGGATCGGGAACGGCTGGCGGTCGTCGTATCGTTTCAAAAGGAAAGCCAAAAGTTTTCGCAAAATATTCGAGTTCCTCCTTTGATTCTATCCTCGACTATAACCGTGCTGTTTTTAATCTTCGCAGAAATCGCGCAGCGTCGCTAAGACTCCGAGACGAGACGAAGAAGAATTATGTACGTACTAAGAAGAAATGTTTATTTTACGCAACGTCCCCACAAATAATTCTTTGCACCTCTCTGTCATCTGTACTCCGTTTTCTGCCTTTTCTTCGCTACCTTTACACTCCTTCACTTTTACTCTCTTCTTCTCTCTCTTCCTTGCATTTCTTGTTCACTTTCGCCGCAAATGATTCGTTCGGTGATGCGAAATTTCGAATGACTTTTCATCACGTACAAGTGGTCACGGTCTACGGGACACGTTAAATTTCTTTTTTTTTTTCATTTTTTTTTTTGTTTGGAAGGCACTTGCTACTTTTTTTTATACAATATTAATTTTAACCTTTTCCACATTCTCGCCTGTTCACATGCCCCATCCTTTACTCTCGCACACCCTCTCCCTAGCCCCCCCCCTCTCTCTCTCTCTCGCGCTCTCTTTGCCTTTCCGCTAATTCTTTCTCGCAATTTCGTTCGCGGCTCTTTGAATATATCTTTTTCCTTTCCTCGTCCAACCTCATCTCCTCGCTTTGACTCGCGAATTTCTTTTGCTCCACCCTGCCGCTGGTTTCGTTCAAATTTACCTTCTCGTTGAACACATTAAGCCTAAATCGTAATAAAATCTTTTAAATTCGCGATCTACCGTTCCTCTTCCCTTTTTTCTTCCCCTTTTCTTTTGCTTCCCTTCGCTTTTCTTAATTCCGTTCCATTTTTTTTCTCCCACCCCCATCCTCCCACAGCCCACTCCACCCCCGGCCCCCCGCCCCCGTTTGATCGATCGCTCCCTCGCGTGTCGTTCCGATTTTTCACGCGAAAAATAAAACGTGCTCGATCGGCACACACTTTCACGTCGACCGAATCGCCCGAATAGTTTTCGTTTTACCCAAAAATCTTTCGTATCAAGAATAACGAGTTTTAGAGTTTTCCCGAATTAATTTTCTAATCGCCGATAATTAACACGCTAATCGATTGCTCTCGAAACTTTCGTACGAACCGTTTAAAGCTTTCATAGGGGAGCGGCGCGAGAACAACGTTTTCCAAAAAAGTTGCCTAGACAACGTATAACACGAGGGACAGCCTTATATGTCCCATCACTTTTTTTTTTTTCTTTTTTTTTTTCCGAGCAAAAGCGAAAAGCGATGGTCTTTTCCTTTTACAGAAGGCCACTTCGAATTTTTTTTTTTTTTCTTTACTTTTTAATACTTACAAAGAGTCACTCGAACCAGTGTGCCAACTTTAAAAAATTTGCTTTTTTTTTTTTGTTGTTTAGAAAGTTTCGTTCTCTCTGTCACACGTGCTCCCTCCTTTCTCTCGTGCTCTCTGTTTCTTCTCTTCCATTCACTCTCTCATTCTTCCTCATCCTATCCATCTCACTTTCTCTCTGTCTTCCCCCCTCTTGCTGTTCCTAGGATGACTAGGTCCGCTACGAACTCGCTCGTAGACGTCGCACGAAATCTCTGAACGGCGGTTCGTGGGAAGAACGATCGAGGAGTAGACGCGAATCGTTCGAGAACGATTCCCGGTCGGAATCGGATCGATCGCGGGCAGGTAGCACGCGAGAGGCCGATTCGAATCCGATCCGGGTCCCGTTCGGTTGGATTTCGAACGACGAACGTATCGAAAAGACGCGTCGTATCGACGGCTACTCGTCTCGTACGCGTTCTCTTCTTCGATTGTCGAGGATCGAGGGTCTTTTCGCGAAAAGTCGTACGCGTAACGTGTAAAATTTTGAAAAATAGCACGATCTTTCCGAAAAAAAGCATTCACGCGCACACGTCACACGCACACGCATTCGATTGGATTACACGCGGGTTCCCTTTCAGCTAACTCACACGCTCGTCCGCGCACGCAACGTTTACAGGCAATCGGCATCTTCTCGCGCATCTGTCGGCAGACATTTTCTCTTGTTCCAAATTCAATGAATTTCGCGGTAGTGTCGTTAATTTTTTTCGTTCCCTAATCTCTAAACCTTATAATTTTTATACTTGGCATACCCCAAATATGGCAGGAAGGCAATCATTACACTTAATAAAGTACAGCAATCGGTCTTGTTCTCCCTTTCGCGCGCAAACGCGTTCGCACTTAGTCGAACAACTCTTGTTTCTCTTTCGGTCCGTAGAGATTTTTTAGTCGTCTCGATCGACGAACAGTCGCAAGCGAATTTTGTACATTTCCTTCGCTCTCGTAGGATCTCCTTCGCGATTTTCGTTTATTATGGTTTTTTTTTTTTTTTTACTTTTTTTACTTTTTTTATTTTTTTCGGAAGCGCAACGTTTCTCGGATCGATCCACCGTTCCACGAACGGGGCTATTATAATCTCCTGCTGTCGTCTCTCTCTGCTTTGTATAGACGTTTCGACGCGGTCTCCGCGTGTCGAACCGCGCCACGAGAAATCATCCTCGGCTTCTCTTTCCGCTCCGTTCCCTTTTCCTCCGCCAAGTCCGACTGCGCGTCGTGGACGTTGCTTCCAAACCGCGAGTTCCGACGAGCCGCGTCACGGTCGACGCGAATACTGGGTGGGCTCGTGGCACACGAGATCGCTTCCCAATTACTATACATTTGGCATATTAAACGTATGGTTATCGTATATGCGTAGATATATAAATCTCGAGCGTAAGAGCGCGTGTCCGTGCAATAGTACACGCGAATCTCCACGTTTCTACTCGCGAGTGCACGCGCTTTCGCGCGCGCAGCCCAACGCCGGTGGATCGTGCACAGTCGAACGAATAAATTTCGCGATCCAACCGATCGGTTGCGGCTGCCTCGCGACGAGAGCGTCGCGACGAGCTCTCCGATATCGAGCAGATAGCTACGGAACGTTTTCTTAAAATAGGCGGCCTTCGAGGCTGCGTCGGAGTCGGTCGAGCGATCGCTCGATGATCGATGCTCGATGTCGGGCGGGAGAGAGTTGGCGCGTGTGAGATTCGAGGATCGAAGGATCGAGGGATCGTGTGTGCGTGTGTGTGCGTAGAGAGTTGGCGCGTGTGAGATTCGAGGATCGAAGGATCGAGGGATCGTGTGTGCGTGTGTGTGTGTGTATGTGTGTGTGTGTGTGTGAATCGAGCATCGATCGTGCGCGTTCCTTCGCGTCGTCTTTATATACGTCTCGCGATCGCTCGCGACTCCTAGTCAACCATTATTTCCCTCTCTACTCCGTTTTGATTGTAAATCTCGAACGATCTCGCGCGCGAGAACGCTCTGGTATACTGCAGTGTGTCGTCGCGAGGACGAATGTCGTCGGAATACGGACCGTTCGAGACACCGAACGCCGCATTCGATTCGTCGTGTGTCGCTCGGTTTGCATTTTTCTATCATTTTATTCCCTTTCTCACGCGATCGGACGAACCGATGGCCGCGCGCGCGATCGTACGCGGTCGTACGCGTTCGAATAATCCGTATAGCGAGTATCGCCTCCTCCTCGGAGACTAGCCTCCGCGTGTATCGCCGACCGGTGAGGCGTGTGGTGTCACGCGGTCGCGACGAAACGGCGGAAGCCTGTTAGGATCGCGATGGAAGTGAGACGCTGTCGGGCCGATCCAACGGGCAACGTTTAGCTCGTTCGATCTCGAGCCAGTCTCGCTTACTATTCGCAACGCGAGTCCGTTAACGGCTCCAGCTTCACGGGGATCTTGTCCTTGTCCTTTAGCCCGTGTGGACTCTTCACGAGATCCGTGATGTCCTCCTGGAAGAGATTCTCCGGCCGCGGGCTGACGAAGCTCCGCGCCGGCTTGTAGGTCATACCGCTGACCCCGATGCCAACTTCCACGCTGCTAGGTATGTGTCCGGGATCCATCAGAGGCCCGAGCGGACTCGCCAGCGGACTCTCCATCGGGCTCTCCGGCGGACCACCGGAACCTGGACTGGCCAAGCCCAGATTCAACGGCGAGTTCCCGTTGTTTCCACCGCCTCCGCCACCGTTGTTGCTACCGAGGCCAGGTGCACCGCTGTTGTTGCTGTTGTGATGATGCTGGCTAGCCTGCATCGCTGCCTGAAGGTTCGACGAGAGACTCGTCGACAGATTCGTCGACAGATTTGTCGCCATTATGTCGTGCTGCTGCGAATGCGCCGCCGCTACCATGCTGCACATTTGATGCCGCAATCCTAGAAAAGGGCAACCGACGCAAACCGGACGGAACGGTTATTATTACTGGCTCGTTTTCGAAACAGCGACGGAAGAGAAAAGGAGAAAAGGAGAAAAGGAGAAAGAGGAGAATGGAAAGGTTAGAGTGCGCGTGGCGTTACCTTGAGCGACCGCAGCGACCGCGGCCGCGGCTGCCGCTCCGGGGCTGACCGCGCCTTCGGGACCGTTGCAAGCGGCGTAATTTGCCAAACTCGGGTACATCGATGTCGGCTCCTCCTTCACCATGTGCGGAGAGTGGCCGTCGCGGAACACGACGGCTCGAATCACTCCGCGAATGTGCTCGTCCGGCCAAACGCCCAACAGAATCCTTTGCGGTCTGCCTCTACCTTTCGGACGGAGATCTGCGAACAGAGAAGAAAAGCGAGCGAATAGCGTGTATCGAAGCACTGGAATCGCTCGGCCGAGCTACTCGGACCATCCGCCGTTTCTCGATGCCTCCCCGCATTCCCGAGGAAAAATGGTTCTCGAGTCGCGACGCAATGGCGCGACTTTTACGACCGCGGCTAATGCTCGCGACCGTACACCCTCACGTTCCCCCTTTGTTAACTCTATTTACGATTTGCTACACCGTATCGAGAACCGAGAACCACGTCTATTTGCTCCACGTGTGCCGAGCCTTTGTCTCGCGTGTGTTTCGTTTTCGGCTTCGAAGAATGTTGCCCGACGAGGGAGCGGTGTGTTCATCCACAGGATGCAGAGAGGAAGGTTGCAAGGATAACAAAGGAAGATGCTTCGCGATTCTATCTGGATTCGACTATCAAAGAGATTAAGGGTAAGAGAGAGAGAGAGAGCGAGAGAGCGAGAGAGAGATCGAGAGAGAGAGGGAGAAGGAATTTGTTCTCTCCGAGCGAGTGCGCTAATCGAGAAACGGCAAGGTCGCGACCCTAAGAGGCTATGAGGAAAATGGCGAACCACACTCACCGGCTCCTCCATCGGCGCTGGGACCCAGCATATTGTGCACTCGATTGGCATACAGCACGAACGTCGGGTACGGGATGTCGTATTTCCTGCAACAAAATATCACACAGCGTTTCTTTAACAGCCGTTCGCGATCCGGCACGGCGCGTAAGGTCGGCGAAGACGATCGCGCAGAGGACAGGGGACCGGGGCGAGATCGATCGATTCTCGTAAAGATTATCGAGCTTGTTTCGCGAAACGTTGCCCGATCGAACGCTCTCTCTCTCTGTGCGTTGGCACAAAGGGAAAGAACCTTTAACGACGACGCGTTATTACGCGCGTGCGATACGCGTTTTACGACTAAGCTGTAAAAGTTCTTAAGTTGACCGCTCGCCGAACCCGGCGGCCAATTGTTTTCTCCCTGTTTTAACCCATTTACATCCGACACAGGTTACCGCTTCGGGCACCGCGATTCTCGCAACTAAATCATTCCGACCGAATCGCTCGAAACTTTCGCGGCAAATTGTTCGTTGCAACAAAACAAACTGTAACGCGGCAGAATTAATTTCTGCCGTGAGCCGTTGAAAAATACCGCATGAAAAACCGGCAGCCGATACTTTTGTCTTGGACGATTAAACAATCGATTGGCATCGATGGCACTCGCCATCGCGGAACGCAACCACGACGACAACCGCGACAATAATAACCGCGACAATAATAACCGCGACAACGATAATCGAGAAGCCATCGAGAAGTTTCGTGGAAAATTCGGCCTTTCGTTTTACCAAACGGTCCGATGAACTTTCTTAGTTTAATTTGTCCCGTCGCGCCACAAATATCCATCTAATAATGAAATTCCCCTTGGCGCTTTCCTTAAACGGCGGCCGGAAAAACGGGGCCGAAGGGGGGAAACGTCTGATGCGGATCTGTAATTCAGACGATCCATTTGGTTGAGCAGCGTCGCGACGCGATTCTTTATTCGTTTAACGCGCGAAATTCGGTTTCGTTAATTTCGAAAAGGCGAGCGGGGAAAACGAAGACGACCGTGAAGAACGCGCGGGAATCGAAGGTGGAAGGAACGAAAACTGGTAGTTACCTCGCGGCTTGACTCAAGGACAATCCTTCCTTCAGCACGCTGAAGATTGCCTCCGCCATCGTTTCTGGTCGCCAAGACTTGAGTGGACCACGTTCTCGAAAGCGCAGATTGTGCACCAGGCTCTGATTGGTGTTCCAGCATTTCTGCCACATCGATTGCAGCTGATACTGGTAGCTGTCTGCTAGTTTACGCCCCCCGTGGAAAAAGAGAAAACAGAAAAAGCACAGCGTTAGTATGAGTCATAATTTTCAATGGCGGGAGAAGACGCGTTTAAACATCGTCGAACGTTAATAACATCGCGATCAACCTTTCGACCTTTTTCTTTTCTTATTTTTTATTTTTTATTTTTTCTTTCTTTCCTCTTTATTTACGCGCGTCTCTGAATCGTCCGCAAAGTATCGTTTTCGTAAACGCGGTCGGTCGGTCGGTTGGTCGGTCGGTCTCGGTGGATCGATCGATGGATCGATCGTTCGATCGAAAAGCTGATTCGCTGTCACGCGAGCGTGTAAACGGACGCGCGTCGATTCGCGCGAACGAATGCAAATATGCGTCGAAAGAATCGGATTGAATCGAATCGGATCGAATCGGATCGAGTCGAATCGAAACGGATCGTTTCGGATACGACGACTCGAATTCGACGAAACGATGCAAGCGTGTACGACATATAAATTGGGTAAATAACCAGACGTAGGTAAGTCGGGCGAAGGTGCGAGTATCGTGTAGTTAGGTTCCTTTGTAGCTGCTTGGGCGAAGCGTACCTGCGAACAAAGTATTGAAAGGCAAGTTGCGGCGGGGAAAAGTGGGAATGGGGAATAAACACTGCGTGTCGTGTACGTTAACGTATCGATTGTATTATCGTTGGCGCACAATCGTTACAGAATAAAAGAGAGAGAGAGAGAGAGAGAGAGAGAGAGAGAGAGAGAGAGAGAGA